AGAGGGGGAGTTTTGATTGAGTGGAGTATCCTAGAGGATATCCTGTGAAGTATAATTTGCTTTTGGATGCAAAGTTTTGGCTAATTTAGTCAGGGGAATAATACGAGTTATTCCTGAAAACCATTTAAGCAGATAGTTGAATCGTTGCCAGATACCGAAAGTTAAATTAAGATAAGCAAACCATCCTTAATTCGTTACCTGTACAAGCCTTAGTTCTTTTAGATTTCTTATATCGCCTTCAGTAACTACTCTAATGACTACAGGGTATACAATTAATCCAAGACACTCTCAAGCCGGGAAGCACTTAGAGTCAAGCAGCGCAGCGAAACAGCCGAAGCAGCCTGCAGCAGGGATAGGGCAATGAGATTGAGCAGGAGACGGGCGGGGGTAACAGTGGAGACGTGGGGCTTCGCCTGAACACCCGGCTTACTCAAGTGGCGGCAGAGCACTTCAAGGAGATATTTTCAACACACTTTGGCTTCGACAGCAACAGCAACAGCAACAGCAACAACAACAGCAAGAGCAACAAGGACAATGGGCGCTAGGCATTTGCAACTTAATTGCAATGTGTGAGGTGTGCGTATGTGTGAGTGTGTGCGAAGGTGTTGTGTGTAGAGGGGCGTGGCATGTGCTTTGCATTATGCATGAGGCGCCGACACACGGGCGGCCCGTCATAATCATTTTGTGAGCTGCCTTCTATGCGCTAATTGCAATTAAACAATAATATGAATGTAAGAGGGGACATACGGTAACAGTGAGAAAGAGAGAGAGAGATGGAGAGAGCGTGACTGAGTCTAGTGGAAATTTGAGAAAAATTCGTTTAGAAAAGTGAAAAGGGCGCGTAATTGCGTCGCGCATGTCGCGCTTTAGCAGCAAAAGGCATTTAATTAAATGTTAACAGCAACACGAAGCAACAGAAACAACAACGACAACAACAAACAGACAATTAACAAGGCCTAATTGTTGTTGCTGTGCTGGCGCTGTCTTTTCGAGTCGCATTTGTTGCCTTTGCCATTGTCTGCATGTATTTGCATACCATTAACCCGAGCATATCATTCGCCCTCTTCCTCACACTCCTGGAGTGCATTACCAACACTCGCAAGACGCGAGTCAAGAGTTGCTCAAAGGAAAGCGGGCTGCAGGCCGCGTATTTAATTGCCAACAGCATTGTCATCGGCATCTCAAATAGTCAAAGAACAATTTTCTGATAAATAAATACAATTTGTCGCTATCAAGTAATATGAATGTTAGTCCAGAAAACTTATACGCAATTGTATAATACATGTTATTATGCTAATTTTTTTTGTTAGGCATACGGAGTGGAGGCATCGCAGATAAATTAAAGATCGTGCGTCGTTAATCTCTTATCCTTATTAAAAGCAAGCTGTGCTCTTTCCTTAGTAGTACTTGGCAGATGCTTTTGTATAATTAGAAGCTAAGAACTGTACAAAGGAGAAAATGTAAGTGTCACGCAAGAAGCAATCAGTAGGCGAACTGGAGTGGGGAGTTATGCTATTAACAGCGCATAATACTGTTAATAACATATCATGGCAGTGTGCGGAGGAGCAGTTCTTGTTAAAAACTCATATATAAAATATATTTTGCACAGCAGCTTCTCAGACTTAAACATATACTCCAAACTATACGAAATAGAACCATGTAGATTCGTAAGGGACCTGCTTTGCGTCAACATAGCTTATCAGACACTGAGCCAAGTTTTAATTTGTACTCTAAACTATATCTGATATGATATACACTTAACTAACGCTTTGATCACCCTGCTGTCTTTAGCTAGAGGCTGGCCGCAGTGGCAGTCATAAGCGTCATTAAATGGCCCGGTGGAAAGTGTGTTTTATAACAGCCCGTAAAAGCGGCCACGACAAATATTTAAGCAGAGCGCAAAAAACTGTGCAAATTTGCGAGCCGAGTGAGGGGCAGTCAGGGGAGGTGGGAAGAAAATGTGGAGAGTGGCACTGCTGTTCACGTTTATCTAGTCCGAAACACAGGTCGGGGGCAAAATTGACAACTCAATTGCGAAAACTATTTACACGCAATTAGGCGAAATGACAGGGCGCCACAGCTCACGGCAAAGTTGTCAAGTGAAATGCGAGCAAAGGCACATAAAAAGAGGTATAACAAAAGGACGGCCCGGCACACCCTGGCTGACAGGCTGGCTGGCTGGCTAGCTGGCTGGCTGGCCGGGTGACTGGCCGGGTGACTGGCTGCCACCTTCGAGCTGCTCCGCCGAGTCTCGAGTGTAAATATTGACCAGGCCCGAACAAACTATGGCACAGGCAGCGAGCAGCCGCTGAGGAGCAGGACCCCCAGCCAGGCGGCAGAGCTCATTCATAAATGCATTAGCTAGCTGTCAGGCAGTGCAATCGAATTCATGTTGGCATTAAACGTAAATTATGCAGTCCATGAATTTAACATGGCTGAGCAAACCACTCGGACACCGACCACCAACCACCAACCACGTACGTCCGTACGTACGTACGAATACTTGTCAAGGTGACTGTAAACGGATTCTGTGTTTATTACATGAGCCGCATTTCAATATGCCAAGGACATGTCGGGCTTTAAACTTGCATAACGTGTGCGACGCTAATAATATATAATGGTAAATATTAACCGGCTTTGTCCGGTCAATGTATTTTGGTCTTGTTTATTTGTAAATGAGGCGAGGCATATTCGTTTTAAGCCAAGCTTCGGCTTTGATGGACAATCAAAGGACATTCTAAAATGAGTATTACAATCAAAGTGAATGATTGTGAAGATAGTTGTAGCACATTTAAATAAGGGGAAACTTCTCAAATTGAAGTTTGAATTTTAATTAAAACTACATATGTTTTTCTCTTTAAAATTAAATTATGTATAGGTAGTGCTAGTATATAGTATATTGTGAAATGTAGAGGGGGGAAAGTTTCAAAAAGTTTTTCTCTAACTTTCCAGCTTTCTTTGAGTCGGCTTTCTTTGTCTGGGAAAATGGCCAACTGCCATGCAGCGTACGGAGGCTCTAACATTTTGGGCAGCATGTTAGTCCTCAAAGAGTTCACACACCTATATATGTATATATATGTGTCTATGTACATATAGAGTGAATATATATTGCATCTAACACTCGACTTATTTGTATTGCATGCCGCCTTGTGACCCAGTTACGTCTTGTTGTTTGGCCTTGAGCGACAACTTGTACAAACTTCTCCTAGCTCTGCAGTTGTCCTCGCATTGCAGTTGACATTTGTTCACACACACACACTGAAACACCCGCAATCACTGCACGTGTGTGTGTCTGTGTGTGTGAGTATTTGTGTCTCTTGAGTTCGCCCTTTTGCATGATTTAAAACTATTTAACTTCCTTTGGTCTCTTCTCGTGAACTCTCGTATTTTCTTGCTTTGCTTTGTTTTGTTACGCTTTTTGACATTTTGCGCTGTGATTTCCCATTTTGCACCTTTTATTCTGAGTGGTTTTACGAGTACCAAACCCCTCAGTTTCAGCTCCGTGTCCTCCGCTGACTCCCTGCCTGCCTAACTAAAAAATTTATGAGTTTTTAACCTTGCTGCAAATGCCAACAACTACGTAGAAAAACAAAAAAAAGGTAGAAGAAAATGCAAAATTTTGCTGACAAGTCCAAATGCTCGACGGGTTGCCCCTGTACAAAGTTGATGTGCATCTCTCTTACTCACTCGCTAGCTTTCTCTCTCTCCCACTCTTCCCGTGTGCCTGTAAATTGTTAATTACTATTGTGATGCACATTGTATTTTTGTAGGCCAATTGCTACCAACAGCAGCGGCAATGCGGAAAGATATGCTGCATATGCGGCGTATGCGTAATATTTTTTGTTGGCTTACTTTGACGTTCGGCGTAAATAGTGGGCTTAAGAGATTGCTGCACACACATATGAATATATATATATATGTGGTTATGGCTTTGTATGAAATGCTTAAGTGTATAAGGAACAATTGCAGCTCGCTTCATTTGCATTAATTTAAATTAAATCTCTCAGCATTTTTATCTTAAATACAAAAATGCTGAAAGAGAGTGAACAAAGGACTAGAGTAAAGGCATAAAAAAAAGAAACAAATCTATGCGAGAGAAGAAGGTTTATCACAATGAATTTAAATATTGTTGAAGATTAATAAAATGCATATGTATTTATAAAGGAATATGATAATGATATATATAAAGATCAAAAATAGATATAGTAAGATAGGGAGAGTATCTGAGAGCGAGTGAGACTCTGAGAGAGAGATTGCCTGACAGAGGAAGACTCCGAGAGGACGATAGAGAGAGAGGGAGAAAGAAAGAGAAAGAGCGATAGATAGAAAGGAAGAGTGAGATTGAAATAGATAGTGAGAGTGAGAGAGAGATAGAGACTCTTAGAAATTCAAGAAAGGATAACACAGAAATTAAAATATTACCAAAGATTAGATTTAATGCATATGTATGGATGAATTTAAATTATTGATTCCCAAAAATGTATTCCAATCGAATTTGGCTACTTCTATTTAAATTTTCATTTGATTAACAATCTCTTCATAACTGATTGGAAAAACAAGAGTAAAGTTTGCACATAATAAAACTGAATCGATTTGTTATTCGTGTTGCACACGGCCAAATTTGAATGAATTGTTAAATGTGCATGCTCGATATAATTGTCCGTACCGCACTGCAAATGCAAATAGAGGATGGATGGCTCGCATATAAGCAGCAATGCCTGATGCCTGATTCCGCTGACGCCCCGCTTGACGGGCGCAACAGGAACAATTTAGGCCGTAATTAGGTGGCTGCCAGAAACTGAACATGGTGCAAGATTTTTAATTGCTATCTAATGAGCTGCCATGCATGCTGACTGCTGCGTGCTGCTGTCCATGGGCGAGTCGTTCATTAGCTCAGTTTAGTGAGATGTGCCATAAACATAAACATGAATCAGTGCAGCGAGTTTTTGAGGCCTTTGGCAGCTTATTAACTTGACATGTGTTTGCCTTACGTATTGCAGAAAGCTGTCAGGGACCACACGAGAAGCGCTTACTCAATCACCTGCTCTCCACCTACAACACACTGGAGCGACCCGTTGCCAACGAATCGGAGCCCCTGGAGGTAAAGTTTGGACTAACGCTTCAGCAAATTATCGATGTGGTAAGTGGCGAAATTCCCAAGAGCAACCAAACTACGTGTCTGAATTCCCAAATAACCGTAATCAACTTGAATAATTATAAAAGAAAAAAAAAAGAAAAAAAAACCAAAACAAACGGAATGGGGACTACATGAAGTATTTTTTTTTAAATCAAGTGTGGCCGTCGCGACGGTTTATTGGAATAGAATAAGATAACACATACATACATACATATATACATATATAGGACTATAGATAACGAAAAAAAAACATTTGTGGCTATTGTGGTAAGTGAGTGAGTGACATGTACCCGCCGATCGAAACTACATCAACCTACATTTCGTTAAGCTTTTTCTTTTTGCAAATAAATATGGAATTTTTTTTAAATATATATTGATTATAATCTATTGGCAGATATTTATGCAATTTTTTTTGTTATTATTGGACAAAAGAAGAAAAAAACAAAAAAAAAAGAAAATCAGCGATAAAAAAAAACAATTGGAAAAGCTAATATATATATATATATAATTTGTACAAGGGTTAGGCTATCCCTTTCCCTCCTTTCCTGTTGCCTTTCTCGACTTACTTCTGGTAGCATCCGACAGCATTCATATGTGTGTCAGTAGTCAACTTTGCTTTGGTT